ATCTTGTATCATGTTCTTCAGCACCAGAGACATAAACTCAATGGAACATTCTCAATCTGGCATGTCCCATGTACACCAGACTTTGCTGGGTAGAGAGCTAAAATCTCAAGTCTGGGAATCTCTCACACCAAAGGTCACGTCTTCACACTGAGAGGAAAGAGAACATTACCTTCAGCAGGTCTAAGGACCTTTTAAATCCTTAGTTGTTAAGAACTAAGGAAGATTGCTCAGGTATGAAACTGGAGACCTCCTGAACAATGAAGCTTGCAGTTGACTTTGACACTTCTCATGGGCTTTCAGGGAGAAGGCAGTTCCCACAGCACAAGGCAAAGAAGAACATCCTTCCTGAGTCAATCAGACAGGTCACTTAGGCAGCCACAGCAGAGTACGCAGCTGAAAAAAGAGACATGCTTCTTGAATCCTGGACTCCTCTTTCAAATGCTCCACAGGATTTGCAATCCAGAAGTTTGGTGCACATGCTAAAAACGTTAAAGAAAAACAAGCTAAGATTTCCTTGTTAATTTAAGCAATCCAAAAACCAAGCCTGCAAAGATGGCACAGCCTGGTGAGGTTCCTGGCCAGTCTGTTACAGTACAAAGCAAATCACCTAAGCAACACCTCCCTGTTCCTGGACAGGTACGTGGGACAAGGCCCTCAGGGAGCAAATGTGCCTCAAGAGGTACAAGATGAGAAGTTCCACCAGTAGCTTACCTTGAAGACTGCAAGGTCACTTTAGCAAGAACATGACACACTGATTTAGACTGTGAACCAAAACACTTGCCACTGAAAACATGACACGGCAGTTATCTGCTATGTTATTTTAACCTTTTAAACTTTGAAAGTTAGGAAATGAACCTAAGTAATTTCAGGTTTAAGTCTAAAAATTGATTATCTGTCAAAATATTACAAGGAACCACACACTGAAGTCACAAGTTCATGGGGAGAATGATACCTGACGAAGACATCACCTATAAAAGCAAATGTTTCTTCATATCTGAAAGGAAGAGTTGGTCTGTAGGATCCGTGTAAAGAGAATAATGGGAAAAACAAGAGAGGCTCTCAAACAGGCAAAAATATGCCAGAATGCAGCTGCTGTCAGTGCGAGTGCACAGCCCCTGACAGGCAATTATTCTTTGATCTATTGGCTGAAGCACTGAACAAACATTCTGAAATTCCACACAGAACCTTGTGCATATCACGACTGTGGTCACAATGACCAGTTTACTTTTATCATGAGGAGCCTTTTCAGGGCAGTGATAGTAATAACCATTCAGAATGAGACAGTTTTCCTCCAAGGCGTATAGTCCAGGAAGAGGGAATTTAATCATAAATTCAGTTGCCCTTCCAGCAATGAAACCATTACTTACCAACTCCTGGACACAAAGATGTATCTACATATGTAATTGCTCACTGATGGGGACAAAAGCTACATTCAGCACTGCAAAACAGATTTTTCTCATCTGTAATTCTAAAGGAATAAGCCAAGTGTTTCAAGTGTGACCCTACGGAAAAAATGGAAGAAACTGACACGAAGGTCTGGCACAAGCCTTTTCAGCATCCGCTGTCTGCTCTGTAATTCCTGAATGGGGAGTAGTGGTGACAAATTTAAGGACCTCTTTTAGAGTGTTATTTAATTAAGCATGAGGTAATTTTCACATCAAAATATTCAAGGTAAAGTCCATGACCTACAGAAACACAAGCTTTGCCACCAGGTTATTAAACAGATTCTAACTACAGCAAATTAAAAATCAAGAGTTACAAGTCAAAGCCCCAACAATGAAACAGGCCTCCCTAATTTTATGTCACTTCACACACAGCTTGAGCTCTAAAACCTAGCTCCAACTTTTAATCACAATAACTACAATTTCAAGAGTCAGTCTTTGGATTTCTCCCTCTCCCTCTGTTCCACTCTCCAGCGTGACAGTTTTGTCTTTGCTTAGGCTTCACCACCAGCAACACAATTACACCACGGCAAGCCCTGTGCCTAGAACAGCTTGTACGAGTGCTGCATTTGAGTTTGGCCAAGATGCAGTGAGATGAGGCAAGTCACAGCCTCGCTCCTCCATGTGGATACAACAATGCACCGTGATGACAGCTCAAATCCTGGCGTAGCCAATGCTTTGGGAGCAAACACATTCCCAAAATCTTCACCAGAACCCCAGTGCCTACAAAGACACATCCATAATTACCTCTTGGTTCTGACTGAGGATTGACATACACGTTCAGGAGACAGCTTTCCCACTATAAAGCAGGTTTTAGAGCCATTCTGCTGGAAGCACTGGCTGTAAAGCAAACTGAAGCGCGAGCTGGAGCTCGTAAAAGCTTATTCACAGAAAAGGTGCGTATTAAAACCGAATAGCACAGCACTAAAATGGTCTGCCAAGGCACAACGCAGTGTAGGTACAGCAGGAGAACAGACCCTTTCTGCCCCCTGCAGTTCCCAATGCTCCCTGGATTTTTAAGACAGGCTTAGGAGGGATAGTAGTTACCATTCTAGAACCAGAACCATTTACATCTGGCTCTCACCAACAGCCAAAGCATTTTTATACCTACCTTCATCTGAACAACAGTTAAACTGCCCAGTGCCTTCCATAAAGACCAATTACATATATGGAATGTTTCTGTGATAAACATATAATGTGACTGTCCTTGATCATGTAATAAAAAGAATATCACTTGCTAATAAACCTTTAATTTGGCCTTGTCATTTTGATTATTAGGATTAAGAAGAATCTTCACCAATAAACAGGTGCTCTTAAGCAGTCACAGCTTGCTCCTAGAATATACATATACTTATACATAATATACGTGTATGTAAACTATTAAAGGACAAAGGATTGTTTTCAAGTTATATGGACTATCCTAATTTTATTTCTAGTTATTTCTAGCTAATTTTATTTCTAGTTATTAGACTATAAATCTGCCACCAAACAGAAAACATCCTTTTTCTAATTTTACATGTAAAACTGTCAGGCAAACATCTGTACAGAGAATTTCAGTGAATTAAAATTCCATTGAAGGTCTCATGTTCATATAGAGAAAGGGTGACTAAAGTACCATAACTGTCATTTATAGACTTGTTTTCAGTCCTTACAAACATACACAGGGAATTGGATCCCAATTTAGCTACCCAAAATGTTCCCCCATATTGATCATGTACACCCACATATTTCAGGTGGGTTGGATTCAGAAACTGTTTTCATGCTGGCAACCTGCTTTAAAAAAAAAGCGGTGGGAAAAGCATTTTTAGCATGTATTAGGAAAACTGGTGTTTTCCCTGGGCTGACAGATAATTTTGAAACAATCCTGTTCTACTTTATGAGCCTGGCTGTACAAAGAGGAAGTGAGAACAGATTGATTACAATAGAATATTCTGTATTTTCAGCTGTTTTCTCAAGCAATGATGAACACATCCCTACATTAGATTTCAGAAGGAAAAAGCTGTTGCAGCACACAAGAGATATGCAGGTTACACAGGATGCTCCATGTTTAGAAAAAGGTAATTTTGCTTATGAAATTTTACTTTCATTCTTCCACATAGCATTTGCTTTATATTTGTCTGAGACATCTTCATACCTCACTTGCCATTTTTTTCTTCCACAGCACAGACACGATTTTTTCTCCATTTGAGCTGAAAGCACCATCAACTATATCCCAATTTGTATTTTAACATGCTATAGGCTAAATAAACCCAGATTTTGACTAATATACTCCATAATATTGACCTGTAGGGAATTGTAAGGTATTTAAAACAAGTCTGGCTATACTTTGCAGGGCTATCAAGTAATTAAATCCATTTAACACGTATTTCTTCTCAGATTCCATTTTTTCCTCTTTAGGTAAAAAAATTGGGAAATTGGATCATCCTGAGAACATGAATTGAACACAGAGAAATGGTTTGGCACCTCACCCTTTAAGTCCATCCTTCATGCTCTAGTTCTATTACAAATAATAAGCTGAGCAGCTTAATGCAAAGCACTGGGATCAGGAAGTTTTCAATGGGTTGTTCCAACAAAAACACAATCCGTGCTGTCCCAAACCCCAAGTTTTGCCCCGTGCAGCTGCTGCCTTCCCCTCCTCAGTCACCAATGCGATGACTGACAGAAATCTGCCAAGTCACTTTGAAGTAAAAACTAGTTGATTCTAGGGAAAAACAGTAATTAGTTGCACAGTGCATAGACCAACCCCAGAGAAACATGCATGGGTATAAGGATGTTATTATAGGAGATAGGTAAGGAAAAGCTTTCCTGCTTTTTGCCTGGTTTACAGGGATTTTTTCCCAGGCGCCAACAGCTCCCAGAGCAAACCCCTCCTGCCCTTCCCCGTACTCCAGGCTGAACCAGTTCCCTTCCCCTGCCCCACCAGAGCAGGAATCCCCTTTTCCAAGTGGATTATCAGCACGAACAGCTTTGGTAGGTTTTTTTGGATTTGTTTTTTTTTTTTTTTTTTTTTTTTTTGGAAAAACCACACACATAACCGAGCCAGCCGCAGCCCCCGGCGCCGGGACCCGCTCCCAGCCATTGTACTCCGCGCAGCCCCCCGGGCTCGGGCGCGGCCCCGCGGGGCTCCACAAAGCTCCGCCACAGGCCGGACGTGCCCGGTGCCCCGGGCCTCCCCTCCCCCCGGTATTCCGGGAAACCTCCGGGAGGAGGAGGAGGAGGAGGAGGAGGAGGAGGAGGAGGAAGCGGCGGCGCTGCGGAACAGCCCCGCTGCGGAAAAGCCGGCGGGGCAGGTGGCAGGGAGGGAGGCCCCGCCGGGGCTGGCTCCCTCCTCCATCCCGGTGCCCCCCCTCGCCATCCCGGAGGCACCGAGCGCTTCCTCCTCCCTTCCCCCGGGACCGCGTGCAGGAGCTCGGGCCCACCTGCCCCGTGGGGAGGGAAAGAGGGAGGGCTAGAGGGGGACCGGACCCGTCCCCTCCCCGAGGCGGCGGCGGGTGGGTCGGGGAGGGAGGGAAGGAAGGAGGGAAGGGAAGGGGGGTGGATGCGAGCCGCCCCCGGTACCTTGCGCTTCCTGGTCTCGGCCGAGCCGCTCCACACGAAGCACTGGTAAATCGCCCGCAGGTTCTGCTTCCAGTTCTCCACCTTGAAGCCGGTCACATGGCAGCACCCGGCCGCCGGCGGACTCATGTCAGACCCCCCCACATCAATCCGCCCGCACACGGGCCGGGCCGGCGGGCAGCGAGCCGGCCCCTTCCCCCGCCCCGCAGCACCGACACGGGCCGGGGCCCCCCCGCCCTCAGGGGCTCCGGCCCCTCACGCCGCCGCCGCCGGGGAGCCGCTGGCACATAGAGCCGGGGCTCCGCCACGGCCCCCCGGCTCCGAACAAAGCGCGGCGGGCGGGCAGCGCGCACTCCCTCCCGCCCTTCTCCCGCACACACAAAGATGGGGCGCTCTGAGGCGAGGAGAAGGAGGAGGCGGCGGCTGTAGCGGCCGCTGCCGCCCCCGGAGTGGCCGCCGCTCCCTTCTACCTCATAGAGGCCGCTGTGGAAGCGGCGGGCGGAGGGGAAGGGAGGGGATGGGGGCGCTGGCGGCGGCGACCCCGGCCGCGGTGCGAGCGGGCGTGTGTGGGGAAGGGGGCGAGTCCCCGCCCGCCGCCGCTGCGGCTTCCCCCGCCGGCGCCCGCACGGCTCTTGTCCCTTTAAACCGCCCCCCCGCCTCCTTCGCCGGCTCCTTCCTCCTCCGCCTCGCCCGCGCCCCCCCCGCCCGCCGCGAGCAATGGTCCGAGCCGCTCACTCAACCCAGCCCGCCCGGCCCGGAGTGGGATAGACCAACGGGGAAGGTGCGGGAGGAGCGCCCCCTCTGCCCCGCCGCCCGCGAGGGAGGGAGCGGCGGGGGGAAGGAGCGCGGCGATTGGTCCGCATGCCTGTCAATCTATCCATCTCTAGTGTCTCATTGGTTCCTTTCCCTTTCTTCTCTCCCCCTCCACCCTTCCTACCTAGCATTTCCCCCGCCGGAAAGAGGCGGGACATCCCGGACGATTAACAGCTTCTCTGACCAACGGGGAGAAAAGGCGGGGTCTGTGTGGTGGGAGCGGCGCTATGACTGGTCGGCGTGGACGTCAGTCACGCTGCAAGCGGAGATCGGATTGGCTGTGCTCGCGAGGGGGCGGTCCCTCGCGCAGCAGGCTGCGCTGCTGTCACATCCGCTGGTCCCGCTCTCGCTGTTCCCTCAGCGGTCTCCTGAGGGGACCGGGACCGCCGGGCTCCCGGGGGAGGCTCCGCGCCACGCTCCCAGCGCTCCCAGCACCATGTATGGTCCCTCCATACCGCCAGCCTGCATCCTGGTGTTCCACAGGGAAGAAACAAAAGCGCTGTATAACCAAAACTGGTGTTATTTCAGCTTCTTCCTATACAAGGAAATGGGAAGACAGTGGAAAAATGTTGGAATCTCTACATAGTTTTCAGCTTGTATGCCACACACATTATAGGGTTACATAGTGGAGTGAGGCAGGAGGGAAAGGATGGGAATTACGCCGTGGTTTCTGAAGAGAGAGGCCGGAGGCTTTGCTGAGGCTTCTTAGAGAAGCACTGCAAACACTGTGCAACAAGGAAATAAGCGGGGAAATAAACCCACGTTATTTCACCAACCCCACTTTTCAGTGCGTGCTAATGACATTCCTCGGGAGCTGTAACCTTGAAATCTTCACCTTGCAGATTTCCTTATAGCGCCCAGTTTCCTCACCTGCTGCTGCAGCTAGCAATCAATAAATACAAAAATCAGTGACAATCACCTGAGGACTTTCCGTTTCCTCCTGAGGTGCTGCTGTTTTAAAAAAAGAAAGCAAGGTGGTTAGTAGGCAACTTAGTTTATGATTTGTGTGTAGCTAGGAGGTTTGGTGGCAAAGAGCTGGGTTTGTGGCCCAGGCTGGGACAGCAGCAGGACACCTGTAATTGTTCCATCTCCTGGCTCAAACTACTTATTAGCCTCTCCCAGAAATACCTCTTCCACACAGTCTGGGGATTATGCTCCAGTGATAAACCTGGAATTGCCCCACAGGTGGTAAAAAAAAAAAAAAAAATGCCAAGAGCCGGGAGAGGGCCCGATTATCCCGCTGTGTACACAAATTGCACTGAATGTCTCAGAAGATTATGAGTGGAATGTGGAGGGAGGCTGTACCCTCTCTTTGACCCTGTGTAATCATTAGACCTATTAAGTCATCACAGTGCAGCCTACACTTCCTTGGAAAGGGAACAGGAATTGGTGCTGCACATCCTTCCCGTGTTAACCCAACTTCCAGGAGAATTAATCGGTTTTCAAAAGCAGGAGTCAGAGAGAGCCAGCCCCTCCCCTGAGAAAACCACCCTCAGAAAAGAGGGAGGTTAAGGACTGTCAACTCAAGGTGCATAGAAGAGAACAGGATGGGTGATTAGTGTCCTAACAGCATCTAATAATTATTCTCTGAATATTTCCAATTAAACAAAACCTCTGATTTTGCTGCAGTCTAAATACAAGCAGAAAGTTATTCTTATTCTGCACCAACCTACTGTTACTAATCTGGGGCTTTTCTCCATGGCTACCACATCAAAACAGGAGATAAAGATAAAAGAGAGAATTTCTGCCAGTGAAATTTAAGTCCATCTCGCTGAAAAAACAGGATACCAAAGAGACAATACATATGTTCAATGTCCTGCAGACTCTGAAATTTTCACAGAGATTTCTGTTCCACTCTGTCTTGCAGAGTCCCTGTGTTTACTCCCTTTAGGGTGTCTTATGTAGAAATAACAAGAATTGTGAGTTTAAACACAATTGCTTTAAGAAACACCTACTTTTTTAGTGGTTCTCTCTCAGAGAGAGAACCTTTGGAAAAATACTGATCTTTCTCTCTGGCCGCTTCCAGAACAATTAGCAGTTACCTACTCCTGTCCTGGAGGTTTCTGACCCTGCTGAGGATGTGAGGAGCATCCGTCACAAAGGCCCCACATGGAGGACACCCATCCTGGAGCACACCTGCTGAGACCTACTGTCATTTCCCAAAGGCATCAATGTAGAAATTTAAAGATCACTCTTAGGAGATATTTCCAAAGTATAGACATTACCTTTCAAACTTAAAGCTCCCCCAAGGTTCCCTTGGCACCTTATTCTCCATAAAAGGGGTTTATTTATGCTAGAAATTCAAATTGGGCTTCTTGTGGTAAATTGGAACCAGAGTAAAAATCCACTTTGGAACAGTGTAGAAAACAATGGCTTTGGAGATTTTTTGAGACCAATTCCTGATTTGGGGGGCTTGAGACAAAACTCTACAAATGTCATTAAACCGTTTGCTTTCTGTCCTGTGAAGACAACAGAATCTTTCCTATGAAGTATAAAAACTTCCAGCTCTACAAATATTTCTTGCTTGTTGCAGCCCACACACTGAAGGTGACACAACAGCAGAGCAGCAGCCAAAACAAAATAGGAATGGAAAATAGTGACGACATTTTGTCAGGTAGTAATTGTCAAATCAGGGCCTGCTTTCTGCACACACACACACACACACACACACACACACACACACACACACACACAAGTTTACAAGTTTGCTGTAGTTTAATTTACTCTTGGACATGGCTTGGGAATGTTTCTAGAATAAAACCTTTTGGTGTAGCAGATAGCTTGGGAAAGGATTTGCCTCTGGGGGAAGGAAAGAGTTTCATTCTCTCCTGTGTCTCTTGGAAGAATTTTTAATTTTAAAGCATTGATGATTATGCTAATTAGTGCTTACCCTCAAATGCCAGTGGAATATAAATGTTGATAGTAGCTAAAACACACTGCAAATGTGCAGCAAAGTCTTCCTCCAGAGAGTCATTTGCATTCCATGATAGCTCAGCTGGGGAGAAGCAGCATTCTTCACATGGAAAAGCAAAGTAACTGCCTCTTCTATCCATGCCATCCCAAGGTGGCACTTCTAGGCTCCTCTGGATAGCCATGAATCAGCTGCTACCTCATCACTCGGGCATGCTTTGCCATGATATGTGTTAAAATGTCCAGTTTCATCCTCAGGTAAACAGGAACCTTTCACTTTGATCAGGTGTGTGAGCAGCATCAAGGATTTGGGTAGGACTCCTCCCATAAACCTGGATTACATGTGGAGCTGGCCTAAATTTGGATCTGCCAGAGGCTGAAGCCCCTGGCTCCACAAGTGGATTTGAAGGGAGATGTTCAGCAGCTTTGCTCCTGCAAGCACAAGGCTCTCCATGCTAATAACCAGTACAGAATGTGTGAAGGTTCCTCAGTACCTCTCCTGCATTTTTTCAGGCACTCTAAAAAATACAAGTTTTTCCACATTCTAAAAGGAAAGAATTTACAGAACAACTCTGCTCATCAAAACACAGAAGAATATTTTAAAGACTAAAAAAAACATTTTTATCTCTTAAAAATTACCCTATTTTTAATCTTCAGGAATTTTTTCTTCCCTTGAGCTTAAGCCTTTTCTCATCCAAGCATTGCAACCTTCCATCCAAGTAGTACTGCCATTGCTTAATCCACAGGCTTTAAAGCAGATGAGGTTGAATGTCTGGCTGCAGGGCTAAAAGCTCTGGAGATATCACAGGCAGAATCCATTGTGTGATTCTGCCTGAAGCTTCTTGCTTTTGAATCCCTGTGAAGTTCAGCTGAGTTACCTCAGATACCTGAAGGTTTGTAGGGAAACACTGGTCCCTGTCATTTATCCTGGGGATGGAGTACTGACCTTGCTACAAAACCAAATGGGTTGTAAAGTCCCAGCTATGCCAGCTTCTCTAAAAAGCCGTGTTTTCATCCCAATCCATTGGCAATGGCACCTGGTAGGTACCAGAGCAGAGATTTCCATGTGGCCCAGCCTTAGCATAGGACACAGAGTGGTTTCTTGAATCCACAGCATTCCATGATAAAGGATTGGTTCAGCTGAGCAGATCCTGCCAGAAAGATAATTGTCAGTCCAAGGACTGCACAGAGAGGTGGGTTTCAGTGGATAAATCTGACTTTGGACTTGGTTATCAACTCTTGACATGCTCCCTTGGAATCATGGCCCCCTGTATAGCAAATTTAAAGGTGCTAACACTAAAATTCGTTGTCTTTGAAATCTTTTGCAGACCTCTTCAAAGCAGTGCACAAGACTCCAAGGATTCATGGCCTGTGGATTGAAAATAGTCCTAGAAAAACACAATGCCTGTGCTTATTTTTCTGAAGATCACTCGTTAGATTTCCCGTCAGCACTGTCAGAGGGTGAAATCTTGGCCCCAGCTGAACTCAACAGGAATTTTG